AGAGATGTCTCAGTGGTTTAGATCACTGGCTGCTCTTGCAAAGGACTATGGTTTGGTTCCAGAACCCACATGGCAGCTAACAATCATCTGTAACTCCAGTTCCAGGGGATCCAACACCCTCTGCTGGTCTCTTCAGGCACTGCACACATGTGGTGCACTTACATACATGCAGACAAAACACTCATACACATAAAATAAGTAAAAAAATAATTTTTTTTTGTCTTTTTGAGACAGGGTCTCCCTGTAGCCCCAGCTGTCCAAGCAAGAACTTGCTTCGTAGACCAGGCTAGCCTTGAACTCACAGAGATCCACCTGCCTCTGCCTCCCGAGTGCTGGGACTAAAGGCGTATGCCACCATGCCTGGCATAAATCTTATTTTAAATCTTTTTAAAAAATATTTTAGGGGCTGGCTGGGCGGATCTCTGTGAGTTCAAGGATAGCCTGGTCTACATAGTGAGTTCCAGGACAGCTGGGCCTACAGGGAGATGGTCTCAAAAAGACCCCCCCCAATAATAATAATAATAATAATTTTAGGGGCTGGAGAGATGGCTCAGTGGTTAAGAACACTGGCTGTTCTTGCAGAAAACCCGGGTTCGAATCTCAGCACCCACATGACAGCTAACAACTGTCCTTAACTCCAGTCTCAGGGGATCTGACAGCCTCTTCTGACCTCCGTAGACATCGCACAACACGGGTACACTTACCCACTCATGTATGCGTGTATTGCCTGCGTGTAGGTAAGTGCACCTGTGTCGTGCAATGACACGAAGGTCAGAAGAGGGCTTCGGATTCCCCTGGAACTGGAGTTAAGGACGGTTCGTAGCCTCCATGTGAGTGCTGGGAATCAAACCAGGGTCCTCTGCAAGAGCAGCCAGTGCTCTTAACCGCTGAGCTATCATTCCAGCCCAAAAAATGAAATAAATCTTTGAAAAAAAAAAAAAGAGGGCAACATACCTGGGTGGAGCCTTTCAGAATTTTACCTCATAATCTAATCAGTAAGCTCAGAAAGAACTAGGTAAGAAGAGCCCGGAGAACTGGAAGTGTAGGGCAGGTCTGAGAAAACCCTGTTGACACATCATTTGCATACAAAGGACTTGTGTTCACAGCAGTGGCAGAACAATCTGATATATTTTAGCCAATAATCTCTGGCTGAGAGGCAGCCTTAGCCTGCTGAGACAGGAATTCCTAATCTCCTTCAGAGGTCAGCCAGGCTGGTTTAGGGGCTGTAATCTCAATTTGCTTGGTATGCTGAATACCATTAAATCTTAAGAATGTTCAAAATTAATATAAGGATGATGAAATAGCCGGGTGTGGACTATTAGTCCCAGCACTTGGGAGGCAGAGGCAGGCAGATCTCTGTGAGTTTGAGGCCAGCCTGGTCTACCTAGGAAGTTCCAGGATAGCTGGGGCTACAGGGAGACCATGTCAAAAAAAAAAAAAAAAAAAAAAAAAAAAAAAGATGATGAAATAAGTCAAATCTGTACTATTCATACCCTCATATTTCCCTTGATAATATTCTGTATAATTTGACATTTTCAGTATTTTTTTTCTTGGTCTTTATGAGACTGGGTCTCCCTGTAGCCTCAGCTGGCCTGGAGCTTGCTATGTAGACCAGGCTGGCCTCAAAAATCACAGAGATCTACCTGCCTCTGCCTCTCAAGTGCTGGGATTAAAGGTGTGCGCCCATGCCCAGCTAACATTTTCAGTATTTGTAAGATTAGAAAATTTATATAAATAATCTGACACGTTTCACAAAAGCCTTACTAAGTTTTGGTTTTGTTTTGTTTTGTCTTTTTGAGACAAGGTCTCCCTGTAGCCCCAGCTGGCCTGGAATTCACTATGTAGGCCACGCTGGCCTTGAACTCACAGAGATCTGCCTGCCCCTGCCTCCCAAGTACTGGGATTAAAGGTGTGCATCACCACACCTGGCTAGTTTTGGGTTTTTTAAAAAAGATTTATTTTTAGGGGCTGGAGAGATGGTTAGGAGCACTTTCTGTTCTTGAAAAGGACATAGGTTCAGTTCCCAGCACCCACATTGCAGCTCAACAGCTGTCTGTAATTCTAGTTCCTTGGAACATCCTCTTCTGGTCTCTGGGGTACCAGGTATACATGTGGCACACATACATACATGCAAGCAAAACACTCATACACCTATAATAAAAATGAATTTAAAAAAAAAAGTTGAATTAGCCGGGCGTGGTGGCGCATGCCTGTAGTCCCAGCACTTGGGAGGCAGAGGCAGGCGGATCTCTGT